CTTCACTGGAGGAAGATGGCCTCTTTAACAAATGATGCTGGGAAAACTCACTATCCACATGCCAAAGGCTGAAACTAGACCCAAATGTCTCACCGTGCACTACACTAAAATCAAAATAGATCAAAGATCTAAATATTAGAACAGAAGCCCTTAATCTGCTGGAAGACAAAATAGGTAAAATTCTTAAAGACAAAGGTGTAGGCCAAGATTTTCTGAGCAAAACTCAATTGCACATAAAATTGTTAATCCCATTTGTGATCAACAAATGGGATCACATCAAATTAAAAAGTCAGAACAGCAAAGAAAACTACGAATAAAGAGACGACTACAAAACGGGAGAAAATATTTGCCAGCTACTCCTCAGACAAAGGAATAATATGTAGAATATGTCTCAAATTTGTGTTCTACTTCTCTTTACTTTCTATAACAATAATTACTGTGAATATCATTTCTTCCAACCCTTAATATTAATAATTTTTTTCTCTTATCTTTATTCTGATTTTTGTCAGATTGGACAGACTAATTCCAAACAGACATATCAAGGACTTCAAACTGAAAAACTAAACAATATATAGTGTTTACTGATACTCCCTTGTCAAAATACTAATGTAAGATTCTAAAAGTTGCAGTATTACATCATGATCAACCAAGAAGCAAGCTGAAAGTATGGTCCTGCTCTACAGAGCAAATCAGCAACTCCACTGGCCAGCTTTCCTGTTGCTGACATACCTACGTTTAAGGAGGAAATGGCTCAGTTTTCTTAAGGTTTCCAAGGCTTCAGTTTGTGCTTGACTAGCTCTCAAGCGGGAACATCATGACAGCAGGGCTGCACACTTCATGGCTTCCAGGAAGCAAAGCACTGAGTCAAAGAACCAGGCAGAGATACACCCTCCACAGCCAGGGCCCCAGTGACCCACCTCGAACTGGGCCTTAACTCCCCAACAGCATATTTAGCAATGAACATGGTGGGCGAAAATAGCACCCACATGATCCAATCACCTCTCCAGGAGTCTCTTAATCCATTTAAATTGATAATTAAGATCAACCGGCACAGCAAGTCTGATGAAACGGCTAATAAACTTCCTGCTCAAGCATGTTAATCATAGCTATACAATTACCTTGAGTAGAATACCTTGTAAAATGTTATGAGTGTTAGACAAGATAGCAAAGATATAGGCAATTATAGAATCCATAACTTCAAAAATGAACAACTGAAACAAACTACAGATCTTCTATGCCACAGTTACAATGTAAATGTTGATAAAAGCCTAGTATCTATAATCAACATACTGTTAAAGGAAAAGTAGGAAAACACTCAATTTTCTCTCTGAGTGGTTATATCACAAGCTAAGGAATATAAACCTTAGAAGCAGGCTACCAATTTTTAAATCTAAACTCTGCCACCTGCTAATTGTAAGATTTCAGATAAGTTAACTAGTTTCCATGCTTAAAGTTTTGTATAACGGGGATTATAGCCTCAGCAAACTGTTGAGATTTACTGCTGTGGTAGGATATGGTTCATCCTTACAGGTTCATATGCTATGTGCTGGAGGACTGGGCCCCAGTACGGTGGTGGTGAGGTGGTAGAAGCTTCAAGAGGCAGAGACCAGTGGAAGGATGTGAGGTCACAGGGGTGCCACCTTCACAAAGTATTAACCAGATCCACAGAACTAGATTAGTTCCTGTGAGAATGGGTTGTTAAATAGAAGCCTGGAAGATCTCATGAGTTCCTCTTCCACACCTACCACGTCACTTGCCTCTTCCAACTTTGACGGTTATAGCTCTTCTATTGATTCTGTGAGCCACCCAATTAATTTGATTTTTCTTTTAGTTTTCATTACTTTGGACGATGTAACTTGAAGTAACATTACACCTTTGGATGTACGATGGACAAATGAGGAGAAAATCTCAAGGGTAAAATTCAACTGTTGAACTAGCTTTAAAATGCTACCTCAGAGCATTTTACAGTTCTCAAAGCATGTTTACTTACTCAGTTTGTCCACTGCAATAATCCACACTATAAATAAAAGAGGTCTGACATATTATCCCCACATAAAGAGCTGGACTTAAAGCCAAGTCTGCTCAAAAGCATTGTTCGCTATGTCATATGATTTACTTCAATTCAGTGTACAGGAACGTAAATGATAACTTAGTAGCACAGAATTCTACATGGGAAGTTATCTATGAGAATTTACCGTTTTGAATAATACACTTCACTTGATTAATTAGGAAATGACACCCTGGATAATTAAATGATTTATATAACAGAAATTCCACCTAAAGTGACAATAATACAAACTTATAGTATGTCAGATTGGGGTGCCATTCAAATTGGCCAGTTGTGGTGGCACAGATTTATAATCCCAGCAGTCTGGGAGTCTGAGGCAGGAGGATCTCAAGTTTCAGCCCATAGGCAATTTAGGAACTTTGCAAGACCCTGTATCAAAAAACCAAAAAATTAGAAAAAGCGCTTGGGACTTACAGTAGCTTAATGCAAAAACACTGAGTTCTATTCCCCAAACAGGAAGTGGATGGGAGGATATGAGAATCTGAGCGACTGAAGAAAGAGTGTCATTTCCCAGGTAGTCCTGAAAGGTCTGCAAGAGTTTGACAGGACCCGTTTCCACGCACTTGCCCCAGGCTCCTAACCTTGAAAAGTCTTCAAGGAACTCTGGCATATGTAACTGTCCTGACGTCTACATCTGAGCCAACCCAAAAGATCCACTCCACATATACACAAAGCTGTCCACTGACCAAACAATAATTCCTGTTAGCAATTCAAAAGTAGCTCTAAAATCCATTCCCATTCTATCTTTTTTTAAAGAGAAAAAAAAAAAATAACAACCACAAAGACAAAAACAAAACAACACAACAATGATACAGAATTTCAAAACAAGATAGAAAATTAACAACGGTGGTTATATTACATATTGTTATCTTCAATAAAGTTGCTCAGATTTCCAGATGAAAGAATGCAAGATTACCAAACCATTAAAGAGAATAAAAAATAATAAAAAAAGTAGAAACAATACAATCTTGGGAACCGAATTCTTGCTGTCTGAATGTGCACCTACAGAGTCCTACCAGGTTAGCAATTTCTTCTAAACTCCCTAGAATGGAAAATGGCACCCTCATCTCTCCCATATGGTGGAGGTGGGTGATCAGGTTCTGATCACAAGTTGCCAACCAGTTGACTGAACACTGCTAAGCTTTATCCCCCAAATTCCCACTTGTCTGTATGTCGGGGTCTCATGAACTCATTGTCAAAATCTACTAAAGTGGGACTCATGTCGCCACCCTCCTTGGAACCCAACACTGACATCGTCTGCCACATGCCTGTTAGAACTGTAGAACTTTCTGGTTTCTCTGAGCACTCCACAGAGTTTCCTAAATTCCACTAGCTTTCTTCTGTCTTGATGCTCCATTTTTTTCTCTTGCACTCACTATTATAAAACCACACAGCCTGGAGAAATCAAGCCACCCTCTGCTGTGGGCTATGTATGACACAGCACACTTCATATATATTTTGCCTTCGAGTAGCTGGAGCATACTGTGAAAACAGTATTAGTAGTGTTTAAGGAATCCTCATTTCTGCAGTAGACTCAAAATTTAGAATATATATACCAAAAGGAAACAAAATTATGACAGATTCCATTTCTCTGGAGCATTGAAAAGAATCTCTGAAGTTCCTGTTTTAGCAAAAGGCCTGGCAGATTTCCCTGACAAATCCTGCCACTTAAAGTTAGTTCAGTTTTTCTTCCAGTGTTTGAGTGACAACGGAACTGCAAAAGCAAACTTTACTCCATTTTCCTCATCCCAGCAGGACAACCGCTCCCCAGCAAAGGAATTATCATCATGAATCAACTGTAAAACACACAACCATTCTAACGGATTGAAAGAGGTGGCATTCATGCTGAAATGCGAGGTCACCCTAGACGCTTTTGAAGTAGAAGAAAATATGCAAAGAGGAAGCAAAGTCAGACTCCTGTTAGCATTTTAAAAAATTCATAGCACAGACTGTTCAAATAGAAGCAGTTCCTAAGGTCAGTATTTGAGGTTTCTTTGCATATCTGGTTAGATATAATTTTAGGTCTAAATGAAAGCCAACATCTCCAAGACAGGAAACAAATTAGTCCACTACAAGTCCCTAATGACATACACAATCCATTTGGCTTTATGTGATGTAGCATTTAGCTGGAAACATTTTCAATCTTATTTATACTTTTAAAAAATTATCCTAATTCCTTACTTTATAACATGCATAACATGAAAAAATTATACTGGCCCACAGCTCAGATTCATTTAAATTATGGCAATTTAAATACCAAATTTGAATTTATTTTTGTGTAGCACTAAAATAATAGGATTTCAATCTCATGAAAAAGCTGAGATTCGAAAATATCTTAAACATTCCAAGCCACACTTGCTTTTTTGTACTTTTAAAAATCTGTCCATAACAATGCATGAAGTAACATTTTTATTTTGAACTGACCTTGAAAACCAAATTATGGTAAGTTCTTTCATGTTAGAATTGAAGAAATCACAACTTAGAGAAAGTAGGTGAACTTACTGAACCCCTAAGTGAGAGTCTGAAAATATTACAGCACATATATTGAGCTTTCCCCTCTTGAGAAGTCCCCTGTTTTTCTCTCATTCTTTACTTTCTTGAGGATCCAGGCTATGAACTGGTTGATCAAAGTTAATACAGAAATCAGGGGAAAATCATGAGGTTCAAATTATGAAATACCAAAGCTCAGGGCCCACGTGGTATCTACTGGCTCCATAATAAAACAACTCAGGTCAAGATTAATTGAATTAACTGCCACCTTAAAAAATAGTTTAAAATAATAACGGAAGCATTTTTCAGAGGTGACTACAGTCCTTGAGCAGTAACCAGAAACACAACCACATATGGTTCCATCCAACCCCAACAAGTTTGCTCCTAGCATGTAACCTCTCAGAACTGTCTTCAGCTCTGCATTTGAGCAAAGTAAATGTACCTCCCAGCCTTCGATGTGAGACTGCCATTCCTCCAGAACTTCTAACTTCTCCATCTGCCTCTTGGCCTCATTTATGTTGGAGCAGACGCCTTTCATAGCTTGGAGGGCTTCCGTCACTGCTGCGTAGTCACTGTGTTTCCGTGGGGTCCGCTTCAGCAACTCCTGTTTACACACAAAACCCAAATTGCTCTTTGATCCTCGGTTTTCTGGTACAGCATGCTAAGAGGGACCAGGAAATGCAACCTACAAAGATCCTGACAGCCACTCTCTCAGTGACATCACAAATTCCACTCAGATAACGATCAGAAAGAAAGGTCGAGTCAGTGAAGATGTGCTACTCCGAGGCACATTTTGCAGTTATATTAACTTCTGCATACATTTACTTTGTTTTTAAACATGAAGTTACCTTTCTTCCTTCAAACCATCAAGTATATGACACGGGCATGTAATTTTTAAATTCTGACTTCTGTTATAACAGAACAATTAACAGTGTGACTGTGTTCATTTTCCTGGGATCTTGAACAGAATAAATCTTCAAACTACTGTCTCCCCAAATTTCATAATAATAGAAATCCCTATTTCCTAACCTTTTTTGAGAAACTATAAAAATATAAATTAAACAGAGTAAAATCTGTGAATGTTTTACACTCCAGCAAAATAAATACTTTATTACAATTTTCATAATACTTCATTAAAGGAGCAATTTCTACTGTCCTCATCAATTTTTTAGGTTCATTCTCTGTGATGAATGAGCTACTATATACCCAAGGGTTTCCTTTTTTGCTTTTGGTGTTCAGGATTTTAAGAGGAATTCTATTTATATTTTTTATATTCAGGATATCAAAACTACAGTAATCTTTAATCTCTTAACAAGGTCTTGTTAGCTGTTGTTTAGAAGCACAAAATTAAACATCTTCATCCACTGTCTAGACAGTCGTGACCACGTTACTTTTTAATTAGTCATTTGTTCCTTTACTACAGCTGCCAGGATCAGAGAACTAACACAATTACAAAGACCCTGAGGCCTCTCTTCAAAAGAATGTTCTTCATTCTCAAAAATACAGCGGAAACTTAGGCCGGCTTTTTGTTTTGTTTTGTTTCGTTTTGTTTTGTTTTGTTTCGTTTTGTTTTGTTGAGACAGGGTTTCAACATGCACTTCAAAATGACCTTGAACTCAATATGTAGCCCAGCCTGGCCACAAACTCATGACGATCCTCCTGCCTCAGCCTCCTGAGTGCTGGGCATGTCTCACCATGCCAGTTTGCATTCAACACAGCCAGTTCTTATACCCTTCTGAATTTCTTTATTGAGGAAAATTTTCCTATAAACTTTGACCCTGAATTCACTAATTTCACACTCTGTCCTGCAGAATTAACACCACAAGAATACACAAGACACCACTCCCAGGACAAGGTTTAAAACGTTAATGGTGGCCCACAAATCCATAAAAGAGACATGCAGGCTTCTCTAGAAATTCTAAGTAGTACAATCTTTTGTAAACTATGTGAAGTAGCCAAGTCATTCTGAAGGCCAGGAAGTGGGGCAATATAGAATGATATCCAATGGGTATGTGTGGAGTTGTGAAATGAATTCAAATAATGTAAAATACAAAGAGAAATAATCAGTGAAAATCTAGCAACTATTCACTACAAAGCTGGCATTGACTGGGCAAGCTAATATGAAGTTTTACAAGTAAAACCAATATATATATATTTTAATACTATAACCCAATCTCTAATGTTTTTCTCTGAATAATAAATCCATCTCAAATTGAAGAGAGCCGGGCATGGTGGTACCTGCCTGTAATCCCAGCACTTAGGAGGCTGAGGCAGGAGGATATCACTGTGTGTTCCATGCCAGCCTGGGCTACATGAGCAAGTTCAAGGCTGGCTTGCACTACACAGTGAGATCCTGTCTGAAAAAAATAAAAAATTAAAAAAAATAAGAAACAATTAAAGAGAAATCCAGCACAACTTTTGAGCTGATGGTACAAAACATATGATAGTGAAATGTATTTCTGATGGTTGTAAAAAAGTATTTCTAGTTCAAATTTATAACACATCTTAAAAAGTAAACCAATAACAATACCAATTAATAAGGTGATAGCATTTCTTTTTTATTTGCTTGTTGTTTTGTTTTGTTGAGAGAAGTTCTCATTACTTCAGGTTGACCTTAAACTCACTATGTAGCCCAGGCTGGCCTTGAACTTGTTGAGATCCTCCTACCTCAGCCTCCCAAGTGCTGGAATTATAGACATGTACCACCATATGTAGCTAGCAATAGCATTTCCAAGTATTTTTTAAAATGAAGATGTTAATTAGTAATTAACATATTAAAATAGATCAAATAGACATATCAGTGGCTAAAATAAATAGAGTACATATTATGCTAAATGTACTAGTTAAATTAATACTGTATAAATAATCATTTTATACTCCTATATTATGCATGCAAATGTGTATTTACACATAAAAATGCATATATATACACATACATATATACATTTCTGTAGTTACATGCTGAATTTTGTCATTTTTCTTTTCTTTTTTGTCTTTTTGAGACAAGGTCTCACTATATAGTTCAGGCTGGCCTTGAGCTCACTTTATAGCCCAGGCTGGGCTGCTTCGAACTCACAAACAATCCTCCTGCCTCAGCCTCCCGAGTGCTGGGATTACAGGCGTGCGCCACCACGCCCGGCTTCATTTTTCTATTTTATAAATTAAGGAAAATGCTATGTAGGGTTAGATTCTATATCCCACTCAGAGAGCTGGTAAACAGAACCTTGAAATTGCTGCGCAGAGCTCTTGTGCTCAACTAGTACCTAGACTGCCTATCCTCACATTATACTCCCAAAAAGTGTAGTTTCAAAAACTGGCACACTCACCTATTCATGAAACTTTTCAGTAATGCCAATAGGTAGTACTGTGAAATATATTTGTCATTATAAAAATATTGACTAAGAAGGAGACAGGCTGACAAGCATTAGTGACGGATTTAAGAGGTAGTGTTTTTTACCAATCTCTGTGCATACTCTATCATTTATAGTCCCATGTGATCCATGACATTCCATTACAATAATGATTCAGAAACCAAGCTCCGAAATTATATAAGTGTCATAAATTTATGAAAGTTTGGGAAGCAAAAAAATATACTAACAGTGAATTTACTTAAAATAAAGGGCCCTATAGCTAAAGTGGCACATAAAATAGTCATAATGGACATAATGGGATCTCTCTTGAAACTAATGCATTTATTCTGAATGAAACTCAAGTACGTATGCTTTCTACAAAGAGCACTAAGAGCTCATTTTAGTGATTTTTCCCCTAAAGATCTGCTTCCTACTCTATAGATAAATGTGTGATAAAGTAGCCATCTTTCCAATAATTATGGCCAGCCTTTTTTTTAGAATGTCAGACTTTTTAAAATAATTCTTTCAAAAGATCATCAAGAAAATACGCAATTTTAAAGAAAATGCTACAATGAGGTAGCATATACAATACCTTCAAAAGGAGAGGGTATTTGCATATCCTCTGTATGGGAGTTACCAAGTAGCCTTCCAGGGGAACATCGGTGTTTTTTCGCCCTCCAAGCAGCATGCAGTTCTGGGTGGAAATATGCACAATCAAGTACAGTACATTTTTCACACATGGACTGCTATATTTTCTTCTCTCATGAAAGTTTATACTGAAAAGTGGTGAAAAGAGATATCCTCACATATGTCTTCTAAGAGGAGCGTACTGTTTTCAGTTACAAATAGCACAATCTTTCACATTGGTTCCAGAATGCAAAATACATGTTGAATCTACACAAATTACTTCATAAATATTCTCTGGAGTTTGACATGTAAGGGAAAAGGTAAATATAAAGACAACACTAATGATAAAGAGATGGAGAAAGGGAGAGGGAGAGGGAGACAGAGAAGAGACAGAGAGAGACAGACAGACAGAAACAGAGATTTTGTTCAGAAAAAACAGGACCTTGTGTTGTAGAAGAGCAGGTGTAAAGAGGTACAAAGGCAATGAGGTTATAACTTCTAACTAAGCTCTACCACTGACCAGTCAGTGATATGTCTTTGGCTGATTTCAGAGTTCTAGTTTTCATCTCTGGAAAACTGGCATGTTTCAGCCAAGTGATCTCTAAGTCACACTCAACAAAAGACCTCAGGAAAGCCAGTCACAGAGAAAGAGGGAGGCCAGAAAAGATCTCCACAGAGATCAAGGATTATAGAAATATAAAAACCACCAAACATGGACAGGTGAGCTTCTTCTAACCATAAAGTAGTGATCAAGAGAAAACTGAGTCAGATAAATAAAGTCTTCATCTTCTTAAACAATACAAAGAAAGACTTGGAACTTGCCCAAATCTTGCCTTTCAGAGTGACGGCCATAGAAGGAATACTTAAAATCTAACAAAAACTGATAAACTAGTAGCTTCGATACCATTTGAAAATATTGTTCTATATTCATTAAGAAGAAAGCCCAAGTGCTGAGCAGGGCAGGATGTGAAAGGAAGCCCAATGGTGCAAAACCGTCTCCTCCACTAACCTGGAAACTTATCCTCACTCTCAAGTCAGTAAAACAAAACCCACAAAAGTAACTTCCCCCAGACACACTGGAAGCAGAGCAGCAAGTGGTGCTTGTCATTCTACAGCATGTTCTTGGGGAATTCCTTTCCTTCCTTCAACCAGAGTATCAAAATATCTGCAAGGTATGTATGGTATTTTCTCCCAGGAGAAATCTTTAGAAACACAATCATCTAGATATTATCCACATATTTCCAGTAATATTTCAGGATCTGAACATGACTTAGCACTCTTATCAATGTGGCCACTCCCTACTTCGCTCTGGGCTGTAGAGCCATAAAAGAACGTATAACTGCCCAAAACATTTCCATTTTTTTGATATTATAGAGATTATGCACTCTCTTCACAACTGCAGAGGTTGTTCACTATCTTAGATTGGCTTAGAATCATGAGCTATACTAAATATCCATGCATAAAAATGTATTTCTTAAATAAGCTTCTAGAGATTTTCCTGATCATAAAGCTTACTATGGTCACAGCATAACCAAGGACCTATCATCATGTACAACCTGAAAACTAAACAGAACGACCATCAGCCCAAATTTTGTCAGCTTGGAGAAACTTGGTTGTGTGCACCTGTACAAAAGACCTAAGAAAGTCCCACGGGGCATGAAACCTGAATCAACTTGCAAACTCCCTGATTTCAGACTCGTACTCACATCCATGGACAAGATAGATAATAATGTTCAAATACTTTTGACAAATCCCTGGCTGACTATTAAGAAAAGCAGTCACAGGAGTGATTCCTAACAAGCAAAGCTAAATTATAAAAACAAATAAGCAGAGATATTATGAGTTGCACAAATAAGACACACAAATTCTTGGATTAATTTTGAACAACTTACTAAAACAAAACATATGATACATATAAACAAAAAATAGTAACTAATCTCAGGTTGAAAATATTAAAATCCAGAATCGCTACAGTGTCATAGTTACTTTTCTCTCATTGCTGGGACAAAATACCCAACATTCAAAGTTAAAGGGGAGAAGGTTTATTTAGCTTACAGTTTGTAGAGGTTTCAATCCACAATCAGCTGGCTCCAAGGCAGCAGGGCACACGGCAGAGGAGCAACAGTTCATGGCAGCAAAATACAGCAAAAGCAGCAGTGGAGCTTAATAGCGTCTTTCTGCCCCTTTTATACTCTATCTGCTGCTGGGACTAAGGTGGTGCTTAACCAGTCAATGAACTAATCTCACACCCTTAACTCTAGCATCATACACTCTAGATTCAGCCACTTCTGAAAAGCCCTATGACCACATGAGGCTTTAAGGGGACATCTAGACACAAACCATAACATAGAGTAATTTGTTTAAATGTCTAGCTTATAATAAAAAATTATGAGATGCACAAAGGAACAAGAAAATATGATTCACACAGTAAAAAAAAAAAACCTCTCAATGTGCCCAGTTGTTGGATTTAGAAAACAAAGAATTAAAATAGCTACTATAAATATGTCCAAGAAATCTGCTGAACCCTGTTTTAAAAACTTAAGGACAATACACTGATAATACATAAACAAATAGGACATCTCAGTAGAGAATTATAAAGTTAGCCAAACTAAATAGACATGAAATGAAAAAAATAATTCCCTAGTTAGGCTAAACGGCACATTTGAGATGGCACAAAAAATACTCAGTGGAATTGGATACAAACCAATGGAAATGATCTGATTCCCTTTAAAATATTAAAGGCAGAGATAGAAAAATACGCATTATATAAAGTATGAAAACAACGTAACAAATGCCTTCTCATCATTCAGAAGCAATGGATGCCCTAAGGAGTGGAATGGCGTATTTAAATTGCTGAAAGGAAAATACCTACAATCAAGAGTTTATATCCAACAAAATTATCCTTGAAAAATGAAGGCAAAGTAAAGATATTCCCAGATAAAATGTCAGAGAAGCCAATACTAATAGAAATCTCTTATAAGAAATTAGATCATTCTTCAGATTAAAAGGCTCTAAAGTTGGAGTAAAATATACCAGAAGAAATAGAAGGCTAGAAATGGTAAATAGGTTAATATGAAAGACTGTATAAATATACACTAAATATATAATAATCAAAGTTATACCACTGGGTTGCAAGGTTCATAACATATAGTGTGACGTGTTTGGCCATAAGAACCCACTGGAGGAGGGAGGAAATGGAATGTTTCTCACATGCACATAGGAAATATTGTAACAAAGTACCACGTATATTTTACTGGAATTATATCAATAGTAACAGAAAATGAACTTGATAACACACATACTGTAGTTTATAGAAAAAATTATTTTTAATATTCTTAAAATAGGGGCTGGGGATTTAGCTCAGTGGCACAGTGCCTGCCTGGCAAGCATAAGGTCATGAGTTCGATTCCTGCTACTGGAAAAAAAATATCCTTAAAATATAGTTCACAGAATCAATGGAGGAATAAAAAGATACACTAAAAATACCTGTCTGACACACAAAGAGACAGGAAAAGAGGTGCAGAGACTCATAATAAAAAGTTACAAAATGGTCCATATAAATACAACCGTATCAGTAATGACGTTAAAGGCAAACAAACTAAACACTTCAGTCAAAAGGCAGAGATTGTAAGGTTAGATAAAAAGCAAGATCTGACTTAGGCTGCCTATGAAAAATATTTCAAAGATCATCACAAGTTTCTAAGAAAAATAAAGAATAAAGATAAAATTACAAGTAGTGAGAGGGCTGTCCCTGCCATAACAATATCAGGAAAAGAGACTTTAACGGAGGGGCATTTCATAATGATAAATAGAAACAGGAATCTACCAGCAAGAAGGTATACGCATCTAAAACCAGAGCCCCAAAACACATAAAGCAAAAGCTGACAAAATTGAAGGGTAAGAAAGACAACAATTATACTTGGACACAATAACTCTCTTCAATAATGTGATTCTCCATAGTACGACTAGTAAGTTATAGCTTTCTTAATTCATTTGAATAATATTCATACCATATAATATGTGTAATAAGTCATAATTTTAAAATACTTCAAAAAAAAAACTAGTAAAAACTCTCCATAAACTAGGAATATAATAAAAACCTAAAAAGAGGTCTACAAAAAACCCCTAAATTTACAAGGCAAGTGTGTCTACTTTGATACTCTTACTCAACAATCCACTGAAGGTTCCAGCTAGTACCAAAATGCAAGGAAAAAATTATGACACTCACATTGGAAAAAGAAGAAGTAAAACTTTTTTTTATTTTCAGGTACGATCCTGTGTGTAAAATATCCTGAAGCATCTCCAAAAGCATTACTGGAACTAATACATGAAATTAGATTGCAGGATAAGAGGTCAATATATACAAGTCAACTAACTTTCTCTATACAGTAATAAACAACCCAAAAATGACATTAAGTAAACTCCAATCACAACAGCATCAAAATAATAAAACACTCAGGAAAAAATAAATATAATATCCAAATACAGATTTCTTAAATATGGTAAGAAAAGCATGGTCATAATGGAAAAAAAATAATAAATTAAATTTCATCAAATTCTAAAACTTATTTTTCAAAGAGAGTATTTTTTAAAATGATCAGATAAATCACAGTGGGAAGAAATATCTGAAAATTGTATTTTAGATACAGAATCTGCATTCAAAACAATGAACAGGCAGCTCAGTATAAGGTAGACATTCTAATTTAAAAATAGCCAAAAGATTTGAATAAGCATTTCATTAAATATATGACTGGCTAATAAGCAGGTGAAAGCATGCTTAATATCAATAGCCATCAGAAAAATGCACATTTAGACCCCTGTGTGATACCACTACACACGCACTAGTATGGTTATAATCAGAAAAACTGGTAACACTAAATTTTGGCAAAGATACGTAGAAATTAGAATCTTCCTACAGAGCTAGCAGATATAGCTCATCTATACCAGCAAAAGAAAACTTAGAACATGATCAGTAATTTCACTCCTATGATCTACCCAAGAGAGTGAAACTTTACGTGTACACAGGACTTACTGCATGAATGTTCATAACATTCATGGTAAATATTATACACTAAGCTCAACCTTAATCTTTATTAATTTAAAGAGACATAAACAAAATATGCTATAGTCAGAGTGAAACAGTATTCAGGTATGAAGCTAAAAAACATTCTCTAAAAATGAACCTCAGAAAGACTTTACTAAAAAAAAAAAAATTAGGCCCCAAAATTATATTGTATGGTTCCATTTATATAAAATATCCAAGAAAGGCAAATCTAGAGATGAAAGCAAATCATCAGTTGCCTCGAACAAACAGTAGAAGGAGACGTAGGCTGTAAAGAGACTTGAGGGATTTTTTTCTCAGGTGACAGAAATGTTCTACAATTGGATTTGGGAAATGCTTGTGCAACTCCAGAAATATCAGGAACTGCACACTTATACTGTGGTCCTCACTGTCAGTTAGATTGTCCAAGTAACTGACAAAATATGTGTTTATTTGTGCTACCTCAAAAAATTAAATATATATTCTTGCTATTTTCATGAAAATTGCACAAGGAATGTGTAGGAGAAAGGTCAAACTTTACATTTGTTTTCTCCCTGATTCGCGTTATTTCTGTTTCTGCCTTATTTACAGGTCTTTGAGCGGAAGTAAATGAAGCCCTGGGGAGCCAAGGATACAAAGCAACGCTGAACTCCAGCATGAGTTCTTCACTCCTGGAAACTTGCAGGCTCTCATGAGCAATTCATAATCAACCAGGAGAGGGCATTAGCAGTATTTCCCCATACACAGCTTATTTATCCTAGCTCTCGCTTATTTATTCAAGGACTCTGCCTGCATTTATCAAAGCTTGCATATGCTGAACCTCACAGTACTTCACAAATGGCTTTTTATACCACACTGATGCTACTCCTTGATTCTTACTAAGCCTATCAACAAATATTAACACAAGGTAACACATAAACGTGTACTTACCAAAAGAAATGTCCGAATTGTTCTGATTTTGTTAAGTTCAAGAAGCAATTTCTGTGCTTTTTCATGGTTACTACAATATTCATCATAGATACGAAACTTGTCTTTCTGTGAATTCAAGACAGAATAGAGTCACTTTATTCATTTTGAAATTTTAACCTGTTGACATATATAAACTTCACTGTTTTCTGGATCTCAAGAGCTATATTAAGAAAATATAGCTACATAAAGAAAAGCCTAGAAAAGGAGAAATTCATAATCCACCCGATCCATAAAGAATAGTCTAGAAAAGGAGAAAGACATAAATTGCACTCCCATATGATGCATAAACTGTACTCTAATACGATGAATGCAATCACAGAGCAATGAATCATGTGGTGGCAAAGAATAGAGAACACCGAACCGCTCTGTGAGACCATGGAGACAGGTTTTAAAAAGATGCTATTCTGTGCAAGGTCCAGGGGAATAAATCCTTGATTCCGAGGCAGGGAGAGGGTAAAAAGCCGTATTAGATGAAGAGAAATTCATGTGCCAGATCATAAAGGAATAGCAAAACTTAGTACCCTGCAGTTCACAGACACCAATTTGGATGGTGCCTCTAATAGGGAGACTGACAAACAGAACAGTATAAGGCAACAAGCAGCTAAGAGAATGACAGCCCCTGAAGACATGGCAAGTGAGAAGTCATTTCAGAGAGAGATAATCCTTAGCATAGAAAAGCCAGGGAATAGTAGCTGCTTTCAACAGCTGTTATACTGCAAAAGGTAAATGCACGTAGCTCCAAAACATAACACTCGGACCTTTGGTGGGAATTATAAAAACAGTGATGGGCAGATTTGAGCGGACACAGAGATCTTCTAATCATTAGAGTTATCACTAAAAGTGACAAAGTAGGAACAAAATGAATGGTTTTCATAGACAGAGGGAATTCTTTCCAAAAGAAAGGAGTTTTAATATCATTATCTCCAAACTCCCTTCCACTTGTAAGTTTCCTCAAATTGGTTATGATTAATAACTAACAGTGCAGTACCAATAAAAGGAGACACAGAATATTTATTGATCAAATATAAAAAGTCTATCCTTTGACATGTCAAAGTCATGTGTTTGGAACACTAAGCACTATTGTACATAGATAGCAGAGAATTATTGAATTAGTCAGGGATGAGCATGTATGAGCCAGATGAAAATAAACTTCAGGAAGTTTAGCTCAATTCCTGGATGACATATTCATAATGTGCTATTAGGGAAATGACTGTCAGACTGCAAGATTCCCATAGGCAACCCTAGACTGAGATAGCAACTACTATGCTGGCAGAGAATTCTGATTCTTTCTTGCAAAGCAACAGGCATGGGTAAATAGACACAAACACCCACGGCTTCCAACCACACCCAAGAAAGAACAGTTCGACCTTCTTACATGCAAGAAGCCTCTCCCTTTAATATAATTATCTTTCTAGAACATTTCCTGACTATTAAAAGAACATATGCTGAGCCTGCTCATCATATACAGACAGATATTGTTCATCAAAACCTTTAGGAAAGGGGCTGGGGATTTAGCTCAGCGGCAAAAGCGCCTGCCTGGCAAGCGCAAGGTCGTGAGTTCGGTTCCCGGTACCGCAGAAAAACCAAAAAAAAAAAAAAAAAACCTTTAGGAAAGACAAACTAGAAAATAAAAATATACAGTTTGATTGCTATGTTGTGATACATATTCTTAAGTAAAAAGCTCATTGTATCACATTTTCATAAATATATGGATTCAAAATGGTACTCTGAAAATTAGCATTAAGGGAATGGCATAAATAGCAGCATTCATTTTCATTTTCTTTTTTTAATACGAATGCCTTTTAGTTCTGGGAGTAATGCTGACTGCTTAGGTGGTTTCTCACTTTGCAACTCAACTGCATAAATAATTTCAGCTATGGTGTATAAAGAAAGCCATGGAAATTGTCACACAGGTCTGGGCCATACAATTTGTGACCACTGAACGCCAGCTCCTACGCCTTCTGCGCTGCTCAGTACAACCTTCTGAGAAGCCACCCTTGAGGAAAATCCACACACAGCCATACTCAGTTTGTTCACATCCAAGTCTGTCACAAGCTGATTAACAAGAGAACATTCTGACTAATAAAAGCTCATAGTGCCATTTTAAGAGTGAGGATTTTCCGCTTCAAAAGAAAAATGCTCTGCGTTTGAGGGAAACATAAAAATCTATTCATTATGAACAGCCTGAATATTCATTAGGATTCAAAGCTAGAGAGGATGCGAGGAACTAACTTGTTGGGAAAGAGAAAAGGCTGTTCACTCTTCACTGAGCAAAATGGATGATGTGAGACACTCTCCCTTTTCTGCCTTGGAGTACAAGATTTCACTGGCCTTAAAAGACCCTAAACTTTTGGGGTCAGAGTTTACTTCTAGCACTGAATTCACACATTTTGCTATGCCAAGAGCTAAATCTTAAAATCAAGGGAGAGAGAACTTTTTAAATAAACAGAAATTTATCCTACAAAATGAAGAAAGCAGGTTCCCACTTCTTGTTGAGCATTAGGTTCAGGATGTAAGCATTCTTCTACAACTTTTAAGAATTCTTTATGTACTGCAAGGATATCTTCGATGTTGGAAAACAACATCTGTAAAAAAAAAAAAAATGTGTAAGTGCAGTAGTGAAGCAATAAAATAAAATTTTAAAGTGTCTATGAGAGTCCAGTATTCTCTCTACAAGCTGAAAATTTCAGTGGGGAGCTATGCTACATCCATTCCTTCCTCTTGCCTTGCTGACAGAACCTAAGTTTTATCCACTTTCATACAACTTTGCAAACCAGGACACTTAGCCTGTCTTCCAAGGCAAAGTCTGAGTGGCCAAATCCAAGCATGACAGGATGGTCTGAAGTTAAAACTGTACACAGATTTGTTGGAAGACTTTTGGAGAAGGGTATCTGCCCCTAGGAAGGGCATCCTGGGATACACAGAACTTCTGTCCTTCTGAAAAGTCCTGTGTGGGAGTAACAACTCGGACAACTATGAGGTCACTCTGTGGCCAGGGGAAGAGCCAGCTCAGATGCAAAGCTGATGCCCTGGAAGGCAATCACTGGAGAGGATATAGCAATCTGTTGGCCTCCCTGAATCACCGGTGGGGAACCTCTTCATTCATCCGGAGTTCTGACAGGTGACGCAAATAGTTTTCCAGTCTATTTGGAGCTTAAATTGATTTTGTTCATAAGCTCACTAACTAAAACAGCCCCATAGTGGGAAAATTTGAAAGTTGAATATTTAACTTATGAGAAAATAAGAGCCAGAAAAACCTAAAATATCCTCAAAAGATTTTTTTCACTTGCAGTGAAAGACAACAGTAAGTTAGCATCATCAATATCAAAGATGATTTATAAAACTTGAATAAATAAGCACTAGAGGATAATTGATTCTTATTGGTCATTCTTTATTTTTTCCAAACTCTTTAAAATTTTCCTCATGCTGTGTCCGTGTGTGTGTGTGTGTGTGTGTGTGTGTGTGCGTGCACGTGCATGCCTGCGTGTATTGTTGGGGATCAAATCCAGGGTCCTCCCACAGTGGAAAGCTCTGCTGTACCACTTCCCATCCCCTTCCCCACATTTTAAAAGAAATGTTATATATCTGCTTCTGAGTTGAAGACATACAGACTTTTTTCCTGTACCCATGGAGTATCCAAGTTTCATTCTTTAGCAACCACACAGACCAGAGGTCCAGAATTGCCCACCTCCTGTCGCTCTGCCAATTGTCTGCCAGCTTATTCAACTTTCTTCCGCTCAGAGAAGCTAATGTTAGGTCTTGCTTCTTAAGTTTATTTTTCTTCCTTCCTTCAAACACTTCCAAGACCTTGGTGAAAAAATTCTCTAGACTTACATGCCTCCTCTAACCCTACTTTCTTTCCCCACACCCTGGCCCCTTTTTCACATTATTACTGAGATGGTGACACTGGCCCAGGAACTCATGGGGCACTGAGGAGAAGTGGGAAGTTCCTGCAGGAGGGTCTCACAGGTCACACGTCACCGCTGGGAACTCACGCCTGCGACAAGCGGCCCTTGCCCAGCCTCACCTTCACTGTTTCCTCCGTTACATTCTTGTCAACTTTTGCAGCTGCACACTGGTTCATTCGGTGTAAGAATGCCTGTGTGAAACAAGAACAGCCATTTAAAAGTGACATTAGGGCAAAAAATGACTGGGTGATGATCAGAATTAGATTAATTTTTTTTCAAGAAACCCATTTAAAGATCCAATATCTGAGTAAAATAGTTATGTTGTAACATGTGAGCTCCTGTGCATAGCTGCTCCTCCCTGAGAATTATACTTCCTTATGATGTAAGGCAGAGTCAAAAATCATTGTCTGTATAAATTAAATTTATCCACCCAGGCTTTCAAAGTTCTGGGGTAAACATTTAAAGGCAGGTGTTTCCTAAACTTTTAAGCATTACAAAGCACAAAAACACCAGAATCTGATACAATGCTATTTCTAATAGAAAAGTAAAATGGCAGAAATTGTGAAGTGACTCCCTTATAAATAAGAAAGTCAAAGACAGACAGACAGATAGATAATATAGATAGAATATATATATCCAATGTAGTCAACAAATACAATGACTGTTTAAAGTTTTTTAAAAATATGACAGGGAAAGACATATTGCCACAAATCCTCCTCAAAGTACTCCCCCTCACTTCAAATACACTTAAGAACTTTGTAAACCTTATTTTCAGAATATTTGGCTGTAAGCATGCTATAACTTTTATTTTAAAAATCTAAAAGCCTCAAAACTATTTCAAAAATCACACATATGAACCACAAGACCTCACTTCTAACCTGAGCTTCCTGACCATCCTTATTCCTGAATAATCAATTTGTTTCAGATCCTGTAACTACAAAACCGTATCAAAACTAACAGCCTCAACTCTTTATCATCAGTTGAATTAAATAAAATGAATAAGGAAGTGTTGGATGGAATCTTAATTTTTATTGGAATTGTGATCTAAATTTTTAACTATTAGTTGAAGTTATGTATAACTGGCTGAGAAAAACATTATGAGCATTCTGATTTTTATTTTAGCTTTGTTATTCTTGAGTATTATCCAAACACTCATACCACAAATGCTTTTCAGATCTTTCTATTTAGTTTTAAAATAACAAGGATGGTTTACTTGACTAGTTTACATTTTATGTTGACCACATAGTAAACAGGTAACATCTTGTGCAAGCAAAACTTAAACTTCATTTCTAGAATTATAAACCTTTTCTTCATAAACAGAACTGAGTCATATTCTGCAACCACTAAATTAAAGCTAGGAAGTAGTAAAACTGAGTTAAAATATGAGTTCAAAAGGAACATAAAGCCAATGCAGTATACCACATCTTTACCTGACATTTTTACCTTCTTATCCACCATGACAATATGGAACGTTTTATTTAAATGTATATAAAAGAAAACCTGGAACAATATCTGACCAGGTATTTCTTTTCAATTGTACCACAATGCAAGCAGGTTTTAGATTGTTTGCTGGCAGTGCCCAATCATGAAAATTGTTTGACTTTAAAAAAAAAAAAAAAAATTTAATTCTTCCTTCTTGAAAATAAAAATAAATACATTCTCAGAATTATCCAAGATCTACCGACTCCTTACAGACCTCAGTAACTGGGCATTTAATACTTTTCATATCAGTCAAGGAAACATTAGTAACTGAGTCACAAAAATACATGACAGATTCCATCCAGTTTTAACTCTACATTCAGTTGTTCCCACTAGTCCAGTTTTACAGTTAGATAATCTTCATCTTGACACAAATATATTTGAAAATGAGCACTAGAAAATAGCTTTTTAATGACAGTGGCTCTTGGGGTTTTTACTGTGTGTAAGACTTGGAGAACTTATAAATTTTAAAAGTTTTTAAACCCTATTTTAAACCCTATTTCTCAAAGGCTGATTTAGCCAATTGGTTTAGGATCTAGAAATGTGCATTGTGAACACACCCCTAGGTGACTTCAGTGTAGCTTCATGACACATCCTTCTGATATTCATTTCTTTATATTTATTGTTCCAAACATTGAAAAAAAAAAACAAACTTAGAGATTTACTGGGAAAACAAGCTTACTGACTTCTCTGACTTTCCACTCAAAGTCAAATAATGCTTATCTCTGTACATAACCATCTTACCCAGTCACTTGGAGTTTTGGTACCCAGCCAGAGGATCCACCCTCTCTCTATAAAAATCATGATCTGGCCTATGTGCACTGGTTATGATGATCTCTGAAGGCCAAGCTGATGCACACAGGCAGGACAGATCAGATAGGTTAGGTTTTATTTGGAGAAATGAGGCCGGTAGACGCCCTTCTGGGAACACTTCCGCCCACACATGTCAACATGTGCTCGAGTCACCATCAGCCCCCTACCAAGGGTTGCACAGACATACATCCTCGGCTAACGCTCTTGTCAGAGGCTACTTTTTTCCCACTCAGAGAGCAGAATCCTTTATTTTCTCTTTAAATTGACTTATATTGTTTTACTCTTATGTATTTGGAAAAAAGAATTTTAAATATCATACAGTAAAGTTTAATAACACCAAAAATGTCACCAATTTGGTATTGAGATCAAAAGAAGGAACTCACTGAGATGGGAGAGGGAGACGACAGCAATCTCAGCTGCCCGTTGGTGCCGCTGCCATTTCATTTGTAAAGCAAAGCTCACTACGTTTCATTTTCAAAATACATTTTCTTATTTTACACTTTAAAGTTATAAATCTATGGTTTCCCTCCCTCTGCTTGTCCCTCCTGCTCTTTTCATCAGTCAGGCACACAGACAGTCGTAGATTATTCTCAAGCAGATTTTAATAGTTGGCACTTTCAATTCTTGACATCTGGTGCCACAGTATCTTGTGGGCATTCAGCTTTATTACTTCTAATATTTTACATTAGCAGCACTCCGTCACTGTGAAAATGGGACTAAGCAATATGTATACTGTAAAAAGAGAAAATTTCAAGAGAGGCTGCCCTTTTGCAGGAAAAGGTATATTCATTTTATATAGATTATATACCTAACCCAGCCCTGACCTTGTTATGTTTTTCTTACAAATATTGATATATTTTATTATAAGATATTAAAAACACAAACACATTACATTTATCAATAGCAGTACCCAGTTCATTAGAAACGTGTCTAAGTATTAGGATGCTCTAAAGTTCACAGAGATGGAAACAAATTTTCCAAACTGAAAATTCACTTAAAAGTTGAAGTCTGTCATAGACAAATACTATCAGCTGTTTTCCTTAAAGTGACCGGCTCACTTCATTTTTCTGAGCAAATGCCTGCCAAACACTCCAAAACAGAAACCATTCTTTGTCCCACAGTCATTATTTCAAGTAAATATGATGTTCCATAGCAACTCAAACAATCACACAAGCTCTTTTCCTGGAGACAAGCACAATACTTGCGCAGAAGCACATAGGTAGACACAGGATATTAAAAAAGAAATGCGCAATAATGAATACCCCATAAAATTACTTTTGCCTGTCTTGTAAAGAATATTTTTAAGCAAAACCGTCCCCCCCGTGGGTAGGTGGCAGCGAAGTACACAGGGACTATAAGTACAGTTCGGTGCTACAGCACTGATTCACACTACGGCATCAGCAGTCTCCTGCACCACTGCCTCCACACCATCAGTAATGTCACCATAGTAAAAAAAAAAAGTCTCAGTATTACTATGAAAAAAATGTTGAGCTTGTATATATCCTGAAAGGTTTTCACAAAATTCCAAATCAGACTTCTCCTTGAGAAGTTCTGTTCTGTGTATACAGGATGTACTGATGTGCATCACAGTCAAGTCTCCGCTCCACCTTGCAAGGAGGAGACAGGTAAATTGAAATACACAATAAAGAAGTACAGTTTCAGTACATTAAAAGGTAAGGGGATCAGCATGTAGCTCATGGTGGAGTGCTCGTAGCATGTGAAGTCCTGAGTGTGATCCCAAGCACTGGGGAGGGGGAGATTGAAGGTAAATGCAAAAACCGACCAATGAGTTTACTGTAATAATAAACATATAAAATATTTCAAAAGCTATATAATACCTTGTGATAATTCCAAGGGCTTTTCAAGATCCAGCGTCCAAGGTCTGTCACCATAAATCTATACTATTCAAAGCTGCTATGGGATTAAACTTGATCTTTCTCTTAGTACATCTCCGGCATTACTTGGGCACACTGGCCAACTTCATTTGCTCTCCTTTGTCCCTTGTATGTCTCTCCATATCTGCATCCACTCGATACAAAAGACTCTTAGTGGGATGAGGGGAATACATCCCCTCTCAATCTCCCAATTGGGTTTCAACATATATGTTTTGAGGGACACATACGCTCCAGCCACAAGAGTATCACTCCTCCCCACTCCAGCTTTGATTCTCTCTGCTCCTCCTCCTCGTCCTCCTCTCTCTCTCCCTTTCTCTCTCTTTCTGTCTCCTTCCCTCCCTCCCTCCCTCCCTCCGTTCCCTTCTCACTCCATTCTACTTCCCTCACTCTGGACCACTTCCCAACCCACACTAGCCTTCCTATTCCTCCCCAACATTGTATTGGCCTTATTTCCACCTCAGCATAGTTTTCCAATCTCCTCCTCTGCCTGGAATACTTTGTATTGGTATATCTCTTGTCTTCATTCAGTTTTCAGCTTAAATGCCAGGTCTTCAGATCTCTCTTAACCACCCAAAGGAACATGTTCCATTGGCTAACCCCTATCACAGCCAACTCCCACATGGCTTTCCTTTGCCTTTCCAATAGCCATCAATATTCCGTTGCCTAACCCCTATCACACTCAACTCCCACACGGCTTTCCTTTGTCTTTCCGATAGCCTTCCACGTTCCACTCCTCAACGTTCCAGTGTCTGTTTTCTGTCTCCTACATGTAGGTGGGAAAACTTGAAGGCAGAGACTATTCCTTTTCCCCTTCCAGGGCAATACTTGGCACTTGATGAGTATTCAATTCATTTTTGAGGAATGAGTAAAGAATTATGATCTTAACTAGATGGTTTACATTACTATTTGTGCAGTATTAATTTTGCTAGTGTATTACTCTATTAGTCACTTTCTCATCACTGGGAGAATATAACTGACACCCAGAACTGAAAGGAGGAGCAATT